TTTTTTTTTTTTTTTTTTTTTTTTTTGTCTGCAGTTTTTTGATGGCTTTTTTTTGATAAAGCTATGAAGATTTTCTTTGCTTGTATGCAACATTTATTCGTTTTATAACAACTGTGTAATATTATTAATACTCGAGTCTCAAGGAAATGGTAAATACTTTTGACTACAATTCTCTGTAAATGGAGAAATTCTGCATTAATTAATGTATTAGCAGATCGGACCATTTTTAGATTGCACTTCTTTAATGCTTTAAATTTCATGAAATTTTGATTGAAAACTCATCCAACAGTGTGTGTGAATTCATATTATTTGGTTGTTGTGACAATACAGTCTAACAGAACATTTAATAATAATTGGAAATGCTTAATCATACAGACCTACAGTTCATAGTTTAATTCACCACGGTTACTAGGGTTGGGAAAAATTGTAGAGCAAAGAGCAGTTACCAGTAACATGTTGAAGTCCAAGTAGTTTTGCATTGATGTATTTGAATGAAGAACACAAGTAAATGAACGAGTGGATGAATTGAATGGATAAGGGAATGGTTTGTGGTGGTAAAGTAACATTTGCAGATAATGGTGATGGTTAATAATTAGTTTATCAAAATTAGCATGCGTTGCAGTGCATATGAGGTTTTCCTTTCATTTATTTTGTGAAATCGTTTAAACTTTATGGCTAACAAAGTTGTGGACGTTGCAGAACGAAGGTAAAGGTTTTCCAAGTGGAGTGAAAACAAGAAATAAAACCTAAGGACGCAAAATTGGTTTTCTTTCTTTGCCTTTGATCAGCTAGTCTCTTCAGCTTGACCGATGGTCGAGTAAATTCTACAGGGGAAAGAGGAACTGCAGTTGATTTACCTGGGAAACTGTGGAACCCTGAACAATTCCCACAGCGATAACAATGAAGTTTAACTCTGATAAAGCGTTATTTGCACGTTAAAGTTAATATGCTTCTGGCTGTCACTGTTGGGAGAGGATTCTGGGCTGTATAGGAAGCTCAACCACTTACTCACTGACTGATTGGCCATCTGAAGGTTTTTTTTTTAATTTGAATGCGATCAGAAAAAAAAGGTATAAGCCCAAGGAGGCAAAGTGTTTTGGTTCCTTTTGGTTACTTTTCAGCAACTTAGACATTGCTGATGTTTCAGTCAGCAGTTATTATCACCACTATTTTTTTTTACGTTTATTATTATTATTGTTATTATTATTATTTTTGCTATTATTGCTGTCATTATTATTATTATTATTCATATCGCTATATCGTTGTCATTACCATTACCACTGTTATTATCACTGTCACTATTATTATTATTATTACCAATACTATTATTTTATTATTTTATTATT